GAGCACAAAGAGTCGCATCAACTGCAATACACCTAACAGATACGTATTAACGATTCTTTCGTCACTTGTTTGTCTTAGATACTGGCCTTTCTTTCCAGCTCTTTTCGGTATTTACGAATAATACTAGCCTACCCATATTTTCACCTGCGCCTAACCTAATTATGAGGTGGGCTGGCACCCCGGTCTCATCCGCGCAGAGACTATTCGTCCACCTCTCATTCGACATTTGAAGTCTTCCTCAAAACTGTTTGACCAGTCAACGGCAGCGACGACAAACGATTTCTGCAGGTAGCAGTCGCTGCAGTCACAATTAAGTGGCTAACAATGAAGAAGAGATGAGCGCCTCTTTAAATCGTTCTTGGCTGCTGAACATTACTCTACACGCCAAAATTTAGCTTTCACCCTCTCTCTGGTCCCCCTCGGTGTCACTCCCCGTTCGCCTGCAAAAAGTTGCATCACATAACGTACGGTCTAGTCGGTGTCTTGCTCTCGTCGCACAACCTCTTCTCAAGGCATCCTGTAAGATCTTCCAGCCCTGCGGTCTGCAGCGTGTCCCGCAGTGGGTGTACGGCGTGTGCAGTCTGCGGCTGCATTGCTGGTCCGCGCCAGGCCGGGTCAAGGCTCTGGTGAAGGGCCGCTCAGCCACAGTGGTGTAGCTGCGGCAGAAGTTCCTGCGGCACTTTGCGAGAAGGAGGGGTGTCACTACTATCGTCTTCGCTATACGCTGCCGCAGTTACCTCTATGGTTGGCGTTTGGCGCGTTGTTGTACTGTGCCAGCCGCTGCTACTGCTGCTAACCCACATATCATCTCCCCGCACCTTTTTTTCCACCCCACCATCAACTTTTTGCCCGCCGTTTGCTGCGCCTGCGGAAGACGCGACACCCGCAGTCGACAACAGTGACGACGAACGGGCGACGCTGCAAGGATGCCATGGTTCTGCTACCGCTGCTAGTCTACCTCGGTTTTGTCGAGTCAAACAATAAACGAAGGAACAAATCGACAAGCCGAACGCCCACCAACGAATGCCTCTTGTCACGGTCGCCAGTGCTCCTTTCCTGGACACCGTCAACCAGTAATGTTAGGTTTCCAACAGCGCTAGAGGGCGCTGTCGGCGCTGCGCATCGACCTGCTGCCGCTAGTCGGCCGCCTGGTTGCGGCCGCCGGCGGCGCTGCGCTGCGGGAGAGGGCAGAGAGTATTAGTTGCAGAAGATCATGCTGGATGTGCTGCTACTGCTGGTTTCCTTGTCGTTTTTGCCGTTGTTGTTAATGTCGCCATCGTATTTGTCCACGAACGGCCTTGCCGGTCGATTATGCTGCTCTGCAGGGCCGGCTGTTGCTTCGCCTGTGAGTGCGGCACCGATAGGCCTTTTGCGGTGCCTTCGTTGTCCGTCCTCCTGCGAATGCCACTGTCATTGCGGTCCATTTGGTTCGCTCAATTTAACAGCGGGTTCTTTGACTGACGTTAGAAAAGCGGGCCATCCTGCCAGACCAACTATTCCACCAGGCGGCCATCTGCATGTTGCGGTGATAGCGCACACAATTGTGGCGGCGGTGACGCCGCTGCTGCTGGTAGCGGCTGCAGCGCCGGTGGCGCAAGGGGCAGTCGCGTCGGCCGTACACTTCCCGCTTGCTGGAGCGTGCTCCGGCACGAGCCATCCTGAGACTTGTGCTGCCTTCGGTGTCTCACTCTCCGCTAGTTCTCTGTTAGCTGCTTGCGAATAAGCGAACGCCCCCGGCCAAAGCGCCTGACTCGAAATGTGCTGCGTGCAGCCGCTACAACGGCCGCTTCTGCATTGCCTTTTCTTGCACGGCTTCTCCGACGACGCGATCTGCGTACTACATTCGCCGAAGAATGCATCCCTTCCCTTCTCAGTTTCGCTTTCTCAGTTTTCCTGCTTTTGTGTGTGCCGGTGCGGAGGACCGTCCACTGCCCTTCCCTCCGAGGTCCGCTGTCCAACCGTCCGCATTCGCCTTGGTTGCACTAGCTTCGGCAGAAGTGGCGCCAATGATAGTGGTAGTTGTAAAGCACACTAGTAACCTCTCTTCTTCCCGGCAAAGTTTGCAACCCGACTTCATTCTCTGCTTGGCTCTCCTTTTCTCACTGTTTTGGCCGTCACATTGTGCGCGTTTCGCCGCGCGAACACCCGCCACAGAGTTGCACAATCTGCCACTCCCGGTCTCAGCCGCGTCACTTCTATTCTGCTAGTCTGGCCCATTGGCTAGACGCCAAAATGCGCACCATCATCATACCACCGGCCCCAGCGTGCCGTACGAGCTCGAGTCGTTCAGCAGCGTGCGCGACACCGACTGTGTCAAGTTGACAGGGGCGCCCTCTACGACCGGTTCGACAGTGGCTCCCCCGCACCGTGCCAGTGGATCCTCTCTGCGGCAACCAACAACTGGCGGACAGCAGTAGCAGCACCCCCGAGGCCGCAACGCCGCTGCCGTTGACGACGACGACAACGAGCAGCAGGCGATTGGGCGAAGACGTTGGACGAAGCTGCTACGAAATGAGCCAGTACCAACCAGCTAGTCATAAGCTAGTTAATAAGGCAGCAAAAGAACAACGAACCAGTCTAGCAGCTATAGAATAGACGAAAATACGACTGACTAGATGGGACGCACAGCAGCCCAAAGCGCTAACAACGCTAGAGAAGACGTCGTCGCTGCCAAGCAAGCAATCAAACAAACAACGGCGCTACGTGCAGTACGCTATATAGAATCTAGGCGGCGGTATATAGCTTAACAGTGTCTTGTTCCATTGGCGTATCTGTGTGTTTGCATCAGTGGAGTATGTGCGGACAACGTGTCGATATTGGCGCGTTGATACGTGTAGCGTACAGCGAGCTGACGTCAGAACAATTAAATGCAACTTATAACAATAAACAGAACGAATCTATCTTAACAAAGTACTGACAAGCAGCGTAAACTAAAGGAACAGTGACAGACCGAGTCGAGTAGAGCGGTCAAAGCATACACAAAAAAAAACAACGTCCCACCCCCCCCCCCCCCCCCCCCTCTGCCCGGTGAACGCCATTAGAATAGTAATTACTCTTAACTCGCTTGTTGGATTATTGTTAAATGATTATGACTACTAATGCTACTCTATGTGATATGTTAGTTGTTTGCGGTTGAGGGAGGATCATAGTAAGCGTCAACTACCACACCGAATTCTGGGATCTATTGGATGACAAGTGAACACGTATTGACGGCACTGTTCATACTTACACCGTTGACCACCTAGCCACTAATGCCGTAATGTCTACAACATTATGAATATTGCTCGAGCTTCGCTATTATATGAGTCATCATCATTGTCTACAGTCAGAAGACGTGTGACGTGACGTGCGGGTACTTCGTGTTTTTCATTCTCGTCGTCTTTCTTGTGCGTATACGCTCATACTCGTAAGATTCTTAGATTAAAAAAAAAAAAAAAAAAGAAGGCATGTGTGCATCATCCCATGTATGGAGGGAATAGCTACGAACAAGCACGATACAGCACCACCTGCTCGACAGTCCGATCAGAACGGAACAGTAGAAACAGCAAAGCAGTGCATGCGATAACAGAGTGGCTAACTCGCATCGGGAAAGCATCCGCCAGCGACAGCGGCTTGTAGTTAATAGTTACTGCTGCATAAGTAAGACTGGAGCAGTGGGGATAAGAGATAAGGTTGAGATATTGGCATCAGGATGAGGAGACTGCAGCCGTTCCAGCCCTCGTTCCATCACACTCCACATCTTGCGATCACAGTGACAGCGGTAGCTGTAGCATCTGAGAAAACAAAACCGAAATCAGTAATAATAATAATAATAACAACAACAAGCACAATAACACGAAAGACGGCAGCAGAAGCAACAGTCTCCTTCACAGTAGGCCACGCCGCCAAGCAGCTAATAAAAACATTCGTAGCTCCCTGGTCGCCAGTAGGAATACGACAGCAGCGACCGCAACGAAAGCCTCTACAACGGCCGGTAACAAACGTTTACGCGACAGCCGAACAGAAATTTCGTTTTCCAGCCACTACTATTAGTAGCAGGTGCCCCTCAGTGGCAAGCTTTGTACCCTCACCTTATGCATCGGGCTTTCAGTCTCTTCTAACACTGCTCGACCGACGAGTAGAACAACTCGATAACCACCGCCGCTTCCTGAGACCCCTCAGTGTCTCCTCGAATCTCCTCGATGTCTGACGATCTGCCGACGCAATCAATCTACGGCCACCACGGAGGCCTACGCGGCGACACGGCACCGCTTTCACGTCGGACGGGAAAAAGCAGAAGTGTAGTTGAAGCCAACGTCACGCACAGAATCGCAATTGCTATAACAATTAGGCCAGTCGAAGCTGACGCCCTCGGGGCTAGTAAGAAAAACGGACCAGCGGCGGATAGCGGCGACAGCGTCACTTTCGGGGGATATACGGCGATTGTGGCAACTACGGGAAAAAAACGGTGGTCTCGTGTACCACCGTTTGTAGGCGGTCTGTTGCATGAGTTAATGTGCAGCACTTGCCGGTCGATTTTAGCGCTTGCCCTTAGCGTGGTCGAGTTACGACTGTTTACCGCAGAAGCCAGTACGAATTTCGCCTAACCACCATATCGCAGGGACGCTGTTTGCTGTGCAAAAACAAGTAAGAAGGAAATCGGATATACGTGCATCTATCTATACGTACAAAAACGTCAACCGAAAAACGTTGACCAAAATTATGTTCAGCTGACATGCGGGCTGGAGCGCATGCATATCATTAGACCATCGTTACAATCGATATGAATATAGCAGGAACTACTTGTAGTACTGTGAGAACCAATATTGTTGCAACTAATAACAAATAACATAACTACCCATCCCTCTTGACTTGCATTCCTCCACCTTTGGCAACATCAGAAGAGATCGTACGTGAATGAAGGCATCAATATCAACTGAGCGTCAAAACACAAAACGATATCTCTTTGTTGCCAACTAGCTAGTACGAAGGGTCGGAGGGGGGGGGGGGGGGCGGCGGCCTGTACGCTCACATGTTCCCCGTACCTTGTCCGCCATCAAGCGACCATTGCTACACACTACGGAGATTAATAATTAATACAGTTATAACAATGGCATTATTGGGTTTTTTATTATACAGCAAAGCTTTTATGCAGAAGCTAAAATTCGAACACAGACTTCATATGGCAGAAAGCAAATTGAATCGACTTCAATTGAACAAAATCCGAATTAATACGGACCGGTTAACGCTTATTGAGTTCATCAATTGATCTTCAATCGCCAGTGGGAGTTGGTTCATACCAATCGGACATCGCTCAAGTGCCACTTCATTCATGAGGACCTCTGGCACGTGGGTGTCAAATTTTGACGTCGACCTTCTGGGTCCACTACGTTGAACACGTGGGACGTTATCGGTCTAGCAGTTCGTTTGCTTGGCTATCTAACTGACTTGTTTCCTGCAAACTGTTCTCTTCAGACGCGTAAATGACGGCGGAATAACACTCGTATGTCGCGTACCCCCACGCTGACTGGTGGAAGCCCGTATGTGGTAGCCTCGAGCACGCTCCACTTTATAGAGAAGATGAAACAAGTTCGGGTATCTTGACATCCTGAAAAAACAAGATACCTGTGCAATGGCGGTGTTAAAGCGTGTACTAGTTTTTTGCAAGAGATAGAGAGTGCACGTACGCATCCACCGTAATCCGGCATATCCTGTCTAACAGAATCATTATGACTGTTATAATGACGAAGTGCAACGATTTCCATTGGTGATTACTGCATGGAGAGTTATGGCACGATTAATCGAACAGCAAAAACTACAACGACAGTATATTGCTTTGTTTTCCCAACTGGTGGCTGATTAGCCACGTGCTTCAGAGTGCAATAGCATCATTAGATTATTATATATAAAACGTGTGTGTGATACGATTTCAACAACGGCAGCGTCGGTCTGCATGTGCGTCGTCAAATACATCAAAAAGAATAAAAACAAAAGTTACAACAAATAGTTGTCATACGTACATCTATCATTAAGCACAGGTAGAACACTAATCAGCTTAGGATACTGCGTGTTGTTATTTGTTCGTCCTACCTGTTATCGTCAAACGGGCCAGATGCAACAGACGGTTAAGCTAGGACCCGGCCTGTTCATTGGCGCCTGTTGCGGTGATATGTGTGCACAGTGATTGTTTGTCGTCCTGTATCGTTTAGCCGTCGTCGTCGTCGTCATCGTCATCGTCATCAACATCGTATCATCAGTAGATTTCTCTCTATCGGATACAAATCCCTCTTCCTCTAAGTCAGCCCGATCGTGGGCCGTTTGTTCGTTACGTGTACATATATGAGTATTTGTGGAAGTATGATGTTGTTTTCAGTCGCCGTTGAATCTCTGTCGGCGATTCGCTGTTGGAAGCAAGAGTATTCTAACATTTAATGTCGTCGCAGTAGATGAGCAGAAGAATAGGCAAATATTTGGCGAGAAGAACCCAGAAGCTAGAGAGTTGAGATTCAACGGAAAGCAAATGCTGTACAAGGCTATATTCATACAATACAAATGTACGGCTAATATTAGTTAGGGGAATATAAAATCTTCCGGAAAAGGGAAAACAGGAGAAATTATTAATAAAAATAAAACTAATAAAGTGTGTCATTAATCAACAGAATAGAAACCTGCTAACGAAGTTTAGTAAGATGCCTCTGGTAGCGCCGCATGCGCTTGGGAGGTGCTCGAAACAACGAAATGTCATTGTTGCTGTTATTCGGAAGAAAAGAGCTATTGATGAAATCATAGTTGATTATGATCATTACAATTTCAAATCTGACTTGTCTGTGATGGACAAGCTGTTTAACGACTCCAGCTGACTCAAGTCTCTCAAGCGTTTTAGGAAGAACAGAACAGCCAAAGCGAGAAGAGAGCGAAGATAAGACGACATGAAGCTGCGTCTCAAATGATCGATTGTTCTACGACAACTATTACTACCACTATTCATTCAGAGACATGATCAGGTTGCTATTGTTGGCAAGGCACCGCGATGATCGCTTTGTCGCTACGCGTTAAAGTTGCATTCGGCGACCAGCACCACCGCAAAAACGTGTTGTTACCAAATCGTATCAGCTTGTCGGCTAACGTCATTGACCAATAACGATAAAAAAAAAAAAAACACACGCTGTTTTATTCAACGAGGACCACACTTGTTGATTGCCCCTTGCACGCTGCTACGTCTGTCGAAAACGGGAGCAGAACTAACCAGAGTACGAACAGGACCGACCGCGTCGCTTTCGCCAACAGCGATCCACTATCGCCACTTTGTGGCCGCCACTGCTTGCTGAAGTTAAGGGGTGGCACGTAGAAAACGTGTCGCCCACGTGGACGCCCAAGCGAGCGACACCCACGAGGCGCCGCGTAGGTTGAAGTTGTGCGAGTTGTATGGATGGCCTTGCGAGCGTGGCCAGTCGAAAGCTTCCCGGAGGTGGCGGGGGCGCGGCATCGCCGACGCCGACGCCTACCCCATCAGCGGATGGCGCCGCGTGTCTTTCGACAGCTGATTATTACCATGTGCTGTCGGCACACATCGAACAGGCCGTTGATGCCTTCATGGAAAGGCTCGGCGGCCGACTTCAGGATTTGGAGATGGAGCTGAGGTACGCCTGGCGCGCGGTCGACCTCCTCTCCACCGAGTACGCGAAAATGTGGGATAAACTCGAGCGCCTCGAAATGCTGCTGTTCGAGCAACAGGAGGTCATTATGCAGTTGCTCATTGAGTCGGCAGCTGGCGGAGAGATGGCAGTCTTTGAGGCAGCTTGCGCTGCCGAAGCCATGGATCTAAGTGGGAACAATATCCAGGATGCGCCCGCCCACTGGAAGAGAATCAATCATGTCAACAAAACGTTTCAACAACAGCAGCAACCACAGGCTGGTGTCACCACAGAAGAAGCAGGTGAAGGTACCAATGTCCCAGCAACAGACAGCTCGCCACCGCGATCGTCAGGTCAAATAGAAAGGAAGCGTTCGGGTTCAAGCGATGCTGAGTCTGAGGCCATAGGCGGCGCTCGCCGCAAACGGCCTGGCGGAGACCTGCTGGTGGTGCGGGAAAACCACGTTAGCTCGTCATCGGAGCCCTCACCCGAGCACACTGCCGATTCGTCGCCGCCGTCCAGGCGGCATTCAAAAAAAGACAAAGATTGTCAGACACGACGACGAAGTAAGCGACGCTCATTTCAGCGGCAGACTTCGATGAGTGTTGGGGCCGTATACGATTCAGAGGGCGCAACCGGGACTGGCATTGAGCCACGTGCAAATACATCACCCGCCAGCGTCGCGACGGCAACAGACGACCAGCGTGAGCTCGAAGTAACTGTGATAACGTGTTGTGTGACGGCTACGACAACAATGACCTCCAGCGGCCACCAACAACACAGCAACAATAGACAGACCACAACCAATAGTAGTAACAATAGTCATAACCTTGAACATGGCCATTTGGAAGCGCTTGTTGCAGCCAAGCTCCACGATGCACGTGGTAACGGTACCGTAGCCATGACGACAGCAAGTGTACAGGCAACCACCGTTCTCGTCTCCTCAAAGGCGGGTCCGGCAGCTTCCCAACAACAGCTAAACGGGCAAGCCGCTCCACTCAGAGACTTTCATCATCATAATCAGAGCCAGCATCCGAATGGAGCCGCTTATTTAGTTCATGAATTAGGTCATTTGGATAATAATAATAGTACATCAGCGACAGGAGCAGCAACTGTACAGAAAAGTGTCCAATCGTTTCCCTCATCGCCATTGACTGCCATAAGAGTGTCATCCGCTGTACACCCCCAGCATCAACAGCACCAGCAGCAGCAGCAGCAGCAGCAGCAACAACAACAACAACAACAACAACAACAACAACAACAACAACAACAACAACAACAACAACAAGTTCTACTGTCACAACTGCAGCGTGAACACGCACCCTCTAGCGAGCAGCAGCAACAGTATTCCAGCAAACAACTTCAGACTATACAAAGGCCATTCGAAGATGAGACAGTAATCAATAGTGGGGTACAAGTGAAATCGTCGCCGAGGGCAGCTGCAGCTGTAGTGACAGCAGAAACATCATCATCAGAGTCAGTCGCGATACCTCAACCCACAACGGTACCCGGTCCACAGCCGACGACAGTAGCTGAGCCAGTTTTGCCCACCAAAGATATTCTGGCGTCGTTTAGTGAGCTTAGCTTTGAACGGTCCCAGGATGAGGAGTCGTTCGTTGACGATCGAGTATATCCTGAGGAGGAGCCGGATGAACCGCCGATTGAATTTCCCGAATTCACGCCGACCCCCTTCCGAAATCTCATCTCGGGCAATCAAGCGGAATCACAACAGCAATTTGACCAAAAACAGCTTGTGGGCCCCCAGAAATTAACTGCTGTGTTTCAAGAGACGCCAAGATCCCAACCATCCAGCAGAAAAGGGTCAAATCAAGAAGAAATCATATTAAAAACTGTGGCAGGCGTTTCCGCAGAGGGAGAGATACCATCCGCACAGGTTATGGGGATCGCCAGTCAACAGCTACAAAGAGAGAGTGAGCCAATTGAGGAATCAGTGCAACAGGGGCAACACGTTGTGAAAATGGAACCGATTCAACAACCGCCACAACAGCAGCAGCAGCAAGGCCAAATCCAACGGCAGCAACAAATCGCAGCAAGCGCGAACCAGCAGCAGACCGGGGCACAGTACGTTCCTCCGAAAGCAGCCCCGATACAGCATCCGCTGGAACCCGCCTCTCATAATCGGCAGGCTGGACAGCAACAGACAGAACAACATCGGCAACAACCGGCTGCATCGGCGGCCGAGCAGCAACAGAGTTTTTCCTCATTTTCACTTGCAAAGAAGTTAGGTGGCAAGATCGTCAACATGGGCATGGGAATGGGCTATTCAAAAGTGGTCGATCAGGCCACCAGTATGCTTTCCAAGGCACCGCGCTCGTTCAACTCGTCCATGAGCCAAGAAGAGGAAATCCAAGGTGGGCCAAGTATCGTCAGTGATACGACCCGACTTGGCATGTCTAGCTACTCCGCTTCACATCAGGAGGCGTTTCAAGCGCCGAGTAGCCAGCCAATACAGAGCGTCACTCAGCTGATGGGCATGGCCAGCGGCGAGAGCGGCTCACCGTTGCTGGAAGTCGCCCGGGAACCGCGCGAACCTCAAGTTGTCGCAATCGACCACCCGCCTACGCCGCCGACGGCTACCGGAAACCAGACCTTCTTCCTGCCTCCACAGAATTCGAACGAGAAATACCACGAAGTGGAAGTAGCGTCACGACGAGGCAGTACCGACCACAACAGACGCAGCAGTCGAAGTGACATCATCGAAGTGATGAGTAGGCGGGGCAGCGCCTCCGACGGGGCGCGCAGCCGTCGCTCATCCCAACAGAGTTTGCGCCGACCCAGCAGTGGCTATGACGGTAGCGTTGAGGTGGCGAACTTCACGCCGCAAGAAGGAGAGGATCACGTGCGAGAATGTGCTCAAGTTGAGTGGCGAAATCTTGGCGTTGACGATATCCCACCCGAACAGCAAGGTATACTAACACCCGCTGATTTTGGTCTCAGCGAAAGCGTTAGGCGTAGCTCGGTCGACTTCGGGAACGGGCCAAGATTAGAGAACGACGTCGTTTGCGGTAAACCGACCTCACTGGTTGGAGGCAGCATAGAGCAAGGACTAGAACAGCAGGCTGGAGGCCTAGGGAGCCTCGTCAGCATAGGAAGTGGCTTAAGTGCCGTAGCAACAGCATCAGCCAATGATAGCAACAGCAGCATTGATCATAATAGTTTGGACCTTGTACAGTCTTTGGTAAAAGGGGAACAACTTCTGACGGGGGAAGTAATCCCCGGGGAAGAAACGCCAGTAGCGGTAGATAACACGATGGCAGGTTCCATCCGCCTGGTGAGGCGCGGCATGCGCCACGTCATGGAGCGGATGGCCTCCATCAGCGCCCAGCCGGGTAGTGATGATACGGCAGTGATGTCCGCAGCGGTGAACATGGGCGCGGGGACTGCGGCCTGTAGTAGTGCAGGACAGACAGCATCTAGAAAGCCTGCTAGCGAGCTTCGTAAAGCTAGCTTGGGCTCACAGGGAGGCGAAACACAGGACTCGGGCTCTACGCCGCTAGGCACGCCTCGAAGCGCAAGTATCAAATGCGTCTCATTTGCAGAAGCAATCGCCAAGGCGAAAGCTGATGCTGAACAACATGCGGCTGCATTGGCAGCTCAAGCGCAGGCATTCGAGGCTGCGCAACAAGCCGCCAACGAGCAAGCCCAGGGTGAGGCGGTCAACGAAGAGGATCTTCTGATTCAGGAAGAAGGCACGACCACCGTCGATGGCACACCTATTGATTGCAAGGCTACTGGTCGGAACCTCAAGCAAATGGTATCTCAAGGTAGTCAAGATGGTAAAGCCAAATGGCTTGCTTTAGTGCAGGTGAGCGAAAAGTATAATTGGATGATAGTTAGTTTCTCCTTTCGTCATGCTTAGTTTATTTGGTAGGCAAAGATGCGTACAAAAATCGTATAGATAAGAGCGAGATAATCTTTATATAAATTTGCAGATGACAAAAATAGCTTGCCACTACTTGGGCCACTACTCTAATCAAAACTACTAAAGGGCCATGTTTACTTTATTATATTTGACAATACAGCAACGGTCATAATTAATAATGATGTTCATAGAGGCTAGAATTATATATATATAAGGATCTAAAAATAAGCATACACATAAAACATAAGTGGTATGATTATCGCCCGCTTTGACATGTTCTGAGCATGATATATAATAGCTTAGATAAACAAACAATAATACTACAAAGTGTGTATGTGACTGGTTTACGATTTTCGAATTACATCCACGTCGGTTGCGCATTGGTCGAACATTTCATCACTGCTATACGCCTACGTGAATGGTATCGTTTGCCATTGTGACCCGTGTAGCCACCACACCATGGCCTTCCCACCTATCCAAACTAAGCTCTGAAATTGCATTTCACGGGTTGGCTTGCCACGACCCAAATTGACCTCCATAGGCAAGCAATGTTGCGTAAAACATACAACGTACGGTCATGTGGCGCAACTGATTCCATCTAACAACGTCGTTCGAGTTCACGCTTTGTTAGAGCGATTACGCGGCGCAGCTTTGAACGATTGACGACTGCCTAGGTGACTCGGTCCATGTTGAATAGGTACCAAATAGTGTCTGACGTCGTTCCTAGGGTGCAACACAAACACGTACTGCAATTGCCGTCCAAAGACAAACAGCCTCGTATATGCAGACGTTGGGAAAAGATGCCAGCACTGATGAGAAGACTTACTTTTTCATCTATTAATAATTATTATTATATATTATAGAAAGGGATGTTTTGCTGTTTCTTTGTTTAGACCAGATAAACCAGCTACAGATAACCCAGCTGGCAGTACTGAAGTAGCTGAACTTGTGTACGGACAAGCTCTCTTCTCATCCGTCTCGGTCTAGCTAGACGAGGTATCGTCGTTACACAGAGCAGGCCAAGAAATATGAACCATTGAGGACATTAGGCTTATATGCAGTGTAACCGATGCCACTGATATGTTTTTTGTCTTCGAAGAGCGCCGGCTGTTGTTTGGAACCCCCGCAGTCACAAACCAATCATCAGCTCCCGCCACATGTGAGAGCATCGAGTTTATACCGCCTACGGCTCAACATTGTCTCAGCATTTAAACTGACGGGCAGCAAAGGCCGGCAGACGCTGGCGTCACGGTGACTGACTGACAGTGCGAAGCAGCCCGGGGCAAGCACGAGTGAGCAAAAGGAAAATAACTGCGCGGACGAGAGGCCTATCATGCATGTGTAGTATAAAAAAAATCCTCTTACAGCGAGTACCAGATCCCAGAGTCGAAGGTATAGAGCAGAAACATGGCAAAGTGTGAAATTCTGCCACTCCGGTAGAACAGAAAACGCAGTTTAATACAGATGGTTGTGGTGACACGATTCCATGTTGATGGAAACATTAACGTAGAAACAATTGACAACCGTGCACGCAGGGCGCCTGTCTCCTGCCTGAAGCTCATGGAGAAGCGTGAAAGGTCTATGGAGTATAGGCTGTTGGCAGGTTGGAGTTTATCCTTGAGCACCCGAGCAAAAGTGAAGAATATTAAGGCGTGGGGCAATTTTGAAGCTCTATTATCGAAACAGATTAGTAGAAGTTGAATCGAGCATGAAAATAATAAAGAAAGTATAGAAAGAATTTGAGTGAATTAACTCGTAAACGTTACTTTGCCCGTGAACGGTTATTGCGTATTCAAACAGTCTACGGCACGGAAGATAATACCATGATACATTAGTGACAGTGATTGTGCCCCTCAAATCGGTTGTTGCTGACAGGACTTTAGAGGTGAAGACCAACCGTACTGTGTTATGTAAAATGCACATAAAACTAACGTATAATAAGTAAATGATTATAAAACATAACTTATATGATGTTGTTTTATGCGCAATAGATTACTCATTGCCTATATGCTAATCAAAATCAAATGGTTTCACCATCGTCGTGCGAACCATGGTGATCTATTTTCTTTAAGGTGACTATTATTTGTAGCACCTGACTGTACCTAACAGTCGTATGTGTATGATGCTAATGCGCGTAGAGGTGCCGAATCGAACGGTGCGTTGAAACCTTTGATGTTCGACAATGGTCGGGCAGCCGTTCGTCCCGAAGTTCCAATTAGTTTGTCCAGGGACCTGCAAGCATCAGGAACTGGTTAGAGGTCCCTCCATAGCTAGGCAGTAACCAGGCGCACGTGAGCAATGGCAGACTGCGGACAGAAGACAGGCAAATGTCGTGCAAACTAGCGGCGGTCGTTTTAGGAGTGGAATGAGTCAACACCAGCGCGGTTGGCACCGCTTGAAGTCATTGTTTAATCTATGCAATCAAGGTTTCACCCTTTTTGTTGAACTGGGCTAGTCTCTCTCGACCCGGTGGTTCGTTTCTAGCTGGAAGACGTGGGTCGGGCCGATTAACGTCTATAGTCGATTCCAAAGTGAGCGAGTTCTACATACAGGTTGGCTGGCACATACAACGGTTGCTGTGACGATATCTACAAACCATTAAATGTGATCGGCTTCGGAAGTCCGCGGGTTAATTGCAGTGGCAGTTGAGCGAAGGCTGTTGGTTGGAAAGCTCTATCGAATCAAAAGGCATATCTACGAGAAATTTTCCAGCTTGACTGTCCCACCCAAGCGATCGTAGCGGTGGTGCTTATAACGTCTAAGCGGAACGGGCTCTCCTAATGCAGAGACATGAAATTTAGGAGACGACGGACAAGTAGCAGAAACAGATAAAGCCAAAAGACACGGGCAGTGGTATTCCCCACGATGAGAGCAATGATGATGACGATGATGATAGTCGCCAGGGACACTGAATAGCTTAGAGGTAATGGGAGATCGATAAGACTTCCGCATTCAACGACCTGCTGAAATCGCCGCAAAACCGCGGGGCAAAATCGGCCCCGGTGAAAATCCAAGAAGGATCTTTCTGGCGCCGCCGGTGATCGGCGTACTTCGATACAATCGAGAATTCTTGACATAGAGATCGAAAAGATGCAAAGAACTACCGCGCTAGACAGAAAAGTGGGGCGGACGAGCGGGGGGATGTCTTTCCGAAAATCGCAAATTTCGTTTGAACTTGGCTGCTGAAGAAAAAGGAAATTAGTACGGGATAAGGAAAATGATATAATGTAGTGGTAAGAACAGAAAACGAAAGCCAAATATGGGCGGACAAGGAGTAGGTTTACACAGGTCCAGAAAATGGACATCGTTAAAGAAACCTTATTAAGCAAGGGGTCTTCAATCGTCGGCTTGGCCGGCAAGCACGTCCCGCTCACAGCGTCAACCTGGGCTTGCATCCTTTACGGTGACGGTGAAGGTGAATGTATGTGCTTGCGTTATTTAAATAAGCTTAGACAGGCGAAACTCAACACAATTGAAGAAACCCCGTGACTAGATCAGGCAGTCGTCCACTGTGTTAGACTACATTTAAGCGCGTGTAATCCTTTTGGAAATGTTCACTGGTCACCTTGGTCGAGTTTAGCGCCGGATAAGTATGAGTGACGCCGCATGGCACTTTGCAGACTTCGGTCAGCACTATCGTCTTCAGACACCACTCAGACGATACCGGTGCTCTAAAAAACGCTACGTATTTTTCTACGAATCCACTTGTAACAGCCAATGGATTCTCTCCTTTTTCTTAATGCATTGCAATTCTATGGCCGTCCCAATTCAAATGTATTGTAATGTTATCACACTCGTAATAGGTGCAGTCGTAAATATGTTACTATCATCATCGTGTCCTAAGTTAGGCAAAAGAAAGAAAAGGCTTCAACTAACAGCTGTGTTCTTCTCGTTAGCGTAATGCAAATAGAAAGAAAGGAAAATATCGATACGTCCAGTTAGTGCTGTCTGGACTGTAAGGATATATATTAGTAAATCGCTGCTTCTACGCAACAACGATAATAACAACATGAACACAAAATTTTTGCCGAGTAGCAAAACCGACGTATTTGAAAAGGGAAAATCCAAAGTGGGTCGTAAGGCCTGGAGTGTTACCGTTTTCGAGGGATTTGTACGAAATGCACAAACGTCCGATGCGAACCGCGAAAAGGCTCGAGTCTGCGACACATGGCTATGTGCTCTTATGCTTCGACATTACAACAGAAATTTGAAAGGACAAATAAACCGCGTGAAGACTAGATTTTTTTTAACGGAAGAAGCTATCACCGAAACGAAGATCGGCAGCGCAAAGAAGACGGGTACTAAGCATATGTTTTAACATAAGTAAATTAAAGTAAATACATGTTTTAATGTAAAGGATGCACCTTGTCACGTAGCATAGAGGTACACATTTTTTTTACAAGAGATTAAATGGTATCGTCAAAACATGCTGCTACCCTTATAGATCATAAAAGTAACATACTTTACATGCGTCTAAGATCGACGCTCACTCAGCGGGGTCAAATTTTATCCAGTTTTGGCTCGCCCTTTACCTACACGGATGCTCAGATTAGAAGCGTTTTCCACTTTCTCTGGAAAAAAAACCAGTAATTCTAATAGAAATCTAAAAGCAACGCCTCGCAAATACCCGTCATAATTCACTATTATCTGAACTTGCACGAGCCTGTGCTCTGAGCATCAATTTCTCTTTATCGGTATACTCAACGACAACTATAATATTCCATTTTGTATCTTTTTAGTCGCAATTTGTCCTTCATATAGATTAACATTCGCTCACATGCACACCTCATCGAAGCTGCTCAGGACGGATGCGACTGACAAAACCCTCAACGTTTTCTGATACGTGGACGGCGAGGAGTGCTTCTCGTAGCACTGTTGTCATTCTTGATGACATCGACGGTGTTTGTTGCCTTGTCGCTGTACGAACCGAAGAAGAGTGTCAC